CCTACTGTTATATGATCTTTGACAAGCCAGTTAAATACATTGAGTGGGGAAAAGATTCCCTATCTAACAAATGGTGCTGGGCGAACTGGCTGGTGACCTACCGAAGACTTAAACTGGATTCACACCCTTCACCACTAACTAAGATAGACTCTCACTGGATTAAAGATTTAAACTTAAGACTTGAAACTATAACAATACTTGTTAATGTTCCCGGTTCACTTCACTATCCAAATTTTAAAAATTTAAAGTAGAGCTGAGTGTATTCTATTGCAGGGAATAGCATTACATCCTATTCCCCCTTTGCATTTTAAAAGCATATCTTTTAAAGTTCTATTTTGTCTTTCAATGATGGCTTGTCCAGTATTATTTCCTATGATGGCTTGTCCAGTGTTATTTCCTGGAATTCCTGTAATATGCTTTAAAAAATTATTGACATTTTTTAGAAATATAAGCTGAACCATTATCTGTTTTGATGGATGTTGGGACACCCATAACAGCAAAAGCTTCTAATAAATGTGTAATAACAGCATCTGCCTTTTCAGAGGTTAATGGTGTGGCCCATGAGAAATGAGAATAAGTATCAATTGAATGATCGATATATTTAGATTTACCAAAGTCTGTATAATGAGTTATAAGTCACTGGAATTAATTCCCCTAGGATTTGTTCCACTAGGTAAAGAGGGGGTAGATACTAATTAACAAGTGGGACAGGAATGCAAAATTTCTTTAGCTTCTTTCCATTTTATTTGAAATTTATGTCTTAAAGAAGCTGCATTATTATGATGGAGGCTACGTTCCTCTTTGGCCCTTTGAACAGATCCTATTAAAAGGTCAATTTTTTCTGTACCTTTACTTAGAGGGACCATAAATTTGTATGGCTCCATATATGGGTAATGTATAAAGGAAAGTTTTGATTTCTAATTAATAATTGTAATGAATTAAATAATTGAAATAATTCAGATTGATCATTAGATAATGAAGTAGTCTCAATATTTTGAATCATGTGAACAGAATATCTAGAATCTGAAAGAATGCTTAAGGAATTATTAGGAAAATCTTCTAATAATAAAATAATGGCAAATAGTTCAGTCTTTTGTACAGACTGATAAGGAGATTGCTTAACCTTTTGTATAGTTCCACATATATAGCCAACCTTTCCTTGTTCATTAGCATCAGTAAAACTGGTTAAGGCATCATTAATAGGTTGAGACTTCACAATTCTAGATAAAATCCAGGAAGTTTGCTTAAGGAACTGTGTTCGTTTATCTGAGGGTTATTCATTATTAACAACTCCTAAATAGTCAATGAAAGCAATTTGCCAATCTTGTGACATCTTGAAGATGTCAGCAATTTCTTTATTTTACTTAGGAACAAAAATTTTATCTGGATCTCTTCCTACCATTTGTTGAAGTCTTTGCCTCCCTTTAATAATGATATCAGCCATTTTTTCCACATAAGGCTGGAGTTTTTTAATAGCCTTATGTAGCAGAAAACACCATTCAATAAAATTATTACTCTGAGTTAGTAATCCAGTGGGAGAATGTTCAGAAGGAAAAACATATGAAATAAAATTTTCATTATTAGTAATTCAATATAATTGTGATTCCTGAATATGTTTTTCTAACCATATTAGTTCCTTTTCAGCCACAGGAGTTAATGTCCTGGGACTGTTTAAGTTAGTATCTCCTTCTAATAATGAAAATAAATTAGTGAGGGAGTAAATGGGAATTCCTAAAGAAGGATGTACCCAATTAAAGTCACCTAATCATTTTTGAAAATCATTTACAGTTTTAAGAGAATTTCTTCGAATTTGTACCTTTTGGGGGATAATTTGTTGCATGGTTATTTTGCAACCTAAGTATTTCCACGGATCAGTTCTCTGAATTTTTTTCTGATGCTACATGCAAGCCATAATCATTAAACAATAGTCAAGCAGCTTGGACAATATTATTAAGAGTGTACTGATTCAAATGAGCAAATAAAATATCATCCATATAGTGATAGTAAATACCATATGGAAATTTAAATGCCTATTTTCTCAAAGGTTGTTGTACAAACATTTGACACAATGTAGGGCTATTCAACATGCCTTGTGGTAAAACTTTCCACTGAAAGCACTTTTTTGAGGCAATATTATTTAGGCAAGGAATGCAAAATGCAAAGTGATCAGAATCAGCATCTGTTAATGGGATGTCAAAAAAACAATCTTTTAAATCAATAATAATAATATGATAATTTTTAGGAATTAGAGTTGGATTTGGAATTTCAGTTTGTAAAGGACCCATAGGTTGAATTGTAGCATTTATTTTTCTAAGATCAGTTAACATTCTCTATTTGCCTGATTTCATTTTTAATACAAAAATTGGAGAAGTCCAGGGAGAGTAGGAAGGCTTAATATGATTTAATTCTAATTGTTCATTAATTCATGTAGTACCTCAAGTTTTTCTTTAGGCAAGGGCCACTGCTCCACCCAGATAGGGGTGTCTGATTTCTACATTAAAGGTAAAGCAAGGTGCTCAGCAATGACTCTTACTGAAAATGCTCAGGAAGAACTGGAAACCCAAATCCAGATTTATCATTGCTCTTCCTTGTGATAGGTTCCTTTTTTGACTGAGTAGATTGATCCAGATTAAAACCCAAATCAAACATCATGTTCTTTACAGTAGAAGAGATATTAGGAATTGTAATCATAGCTCCCCACTGTTGTAATAAATCTCTGCCCCACAGAGTATGTGCATTAGGGGCAGTATAAGGCTTAATTGTAGCCAGCTGGTCATCAGGGCCTGGACAAGTTAAAGTTTCCACACTCTGTTCTATATTATACATAGTATCTAACCCCACAAAAGTGGCTTGAACTCTTTGTTTTTTCCAAGAAGATGGCCAATCAAATTTAGCAATTATGGAAATGTCGGCCCCAGTATCAAGGAGCCTTTCAATTTCAATTTCATCTTCAAATGAAACTTTACATGTAGGCCTAGAATCATTAAGAAAAGTGTGCCAAAAAACATGAGTCCCTGAACTTCCTCCTGTTCTATCAACTGGATCAGACTTTCCCTTAAAATAGGGAAGCGGTAACAATTGAGCAATATGTTTCCCAATGGTTAGCACTACAGGTTGAGACACAGAAACCATGACATAAATTTCTCCTTCATAATCAGAATCAATGACTCCAAGATGAACAAACAATCCTTTAACTGTAGAACTATTTCTACCAATAATTAAACCAACAGAATCTTTAGGAATTGGGCCATAAACTCCTGTAGTCAAAGTATAGGGTGTATCTCTGGGTGTAAGAGTTATTTCCTCTACTATAGGCAGATCTAAAGCAGCACTGTCATGAGTAGCATGAAAGAGATCAGTAACAAGAGTTTTAGCTAGGTGCTGCTGTAAAATAACATCAGAGGCTTTAGCTTCAGGCTTTGTAATGTTATCAGTAGCTAGGACAAAAGTCTACTGCAGAGTGGAAAAGCTATTAGATTTTAAGGTGACAGCTTAGGTTTCAGGTGACAGCTGAACTGGGGGTGCTGTCGCCTCCGTGGCTACCAGAACAGTTTTGGCTGCAATACCCATTTTGCTCTCCTGGCCTGGGTCAGGGCCAATGTCGAGTTTTTTGGTCCTTGGGGAGGGAGCACATTGCCATTTTTATCCTTTATAGATCTGCACTCATTCATCGAATGCCTGCCCTTTTTGCAATGATGACACAGACTCGGTGATAAAGGTGGGTCAGGGGCTTTTTCTTTCTTGCCTTTATTATAATCTGTTCTTACATGGCTACTTTTGCCACAATCATAACATCTTAGATTGTGGCTCTTGAGAGTAGTGGCCATATGGGCCCCAATGTGATCTCCTATAAGAGTGTCTTGGAAAGAACGGCCAAGATTTTTACAAGTTCTAATCAATCTTTCAATTGAGGCATTTCCCTCATGCCTAATGGGTGCCAATACCTGCTGGCAATCCTCATTAGCATTTTCAAAAGCCAAAGATAACAATAACATATCTTGTGCTTCAGGTCCAAGTATTGCTCACCTGATAGTAGTGCAAAGTTTGGAAAGAAATTCAGCATATGGCTCAATAGGACCTTGAATAATTTTTGTAAAATATCTTCCTTCTCCAGGGCCATCAAGTTGGGCCCAGGCTTGGAGACAAATACTCCTTATTTCTAATAAAATATTATCAGGAATTTCAAGCTGTTTATCCTGTGGTATGAAATCTCCTGTGCCTGTTAACTGATGATATGGTAAATCAGGGTTATCGTCACTACAAGCAGTGGCTTCTTTTTTCCACCAAAAGTCAAAAAGCAGATATTGAGCAGGTGTAAGCACTGTCTCCGCTAATCTTTCCCAGTCCCTGGGTGTAAGATAACGATCCTCACAATAAGAATGTAAAATACCTTGAGTATATGGGGCATTAGGACCATTGGACATAACTGCATCTTTGAGAGTTTTGAGAAATTTTAAATCAACCTCAGTATATTGTACTTGGACTTCTGGTTCTATGGCACCTGCTTGAGCCCCAGGTTGCATATTGTCTCCTGCTCCTACCCTTTGCAAGTAACAGGTATAATTAGGCCTAAGCTGTTAGAACTCTCAGATGGTGGGGGTAAAGTAAAAGGGTTACAGGGAACTTCCAAATCATCTAGAAACCTGATGTTTTTAGGATTGGGAAAAACAGCCCTTTAAATGTGGGTGGATTTGTATGTCCAATATTCAACAACTAGAAGTTGAAAGGCAGGAGGCGGAGGTCACTGCTTTATTGGGAGAGTTGGTTTACTTGTCTCTGGGGATGGAGGATGTGATCTTAGTGACTTAGGGGCCACTGCCATGCATGGAGGAGGAATAAAGGGAGGAGGCTGTGGTGGTGGCAAAAACTGCAAAGTGGGTAGAGGAGGAAAAGCGAGAGGGGAAAAAGAGAACAGAATTACCATATCTAAAAGAAACTCAGGAGGTGTGGAAGGCTGAGTTTTAGTCTTTTCCATCATATCATAGCAGTCTTTAATAAAACTTTTAATTTCAATCATTTTATCCTATAAAGAGTGTGTAGAGGAGGATGAAGACAAAATAATCATGTCATTTTCATTGTTCCCTTGCTAAGAGCACTCATCTAAGGAGTCCTCTGTCTTATCAACTCTCTCTTTCTCACCATGATTAAGTGTTGGATCCTCATTTTTGTCTGAGACAGAAAGTTTAGTAAGATCTGCCTCAGCACCTGCAGTAGCAGGGGAAGTAGGAGGCTTAAAAACTTTACTTTCGGTGCCTACAAAAGACTGTAAAGCTAACTTAACCATATGATAAACAGACCAAATATCTTTGTCTATAATATTGCCTTGCTGGTGATGGCACTTCATTTCTTCACTGAGTTCCTCCCAAACAGTTAAATTTAATTGATTATGGGAATTGGGTGTAAGCCAATGGCAACAATTTCTTATGGTGGCAAACAAATGGTGAAAAGAGTTGGTCTTAACAGGAATTCCCTTAGTATCTAAAAGATTTCTAAGCAACTGAATGTATTCATCCTCAGCAACTGAGGAGGAGTTACCTATGATGAATGATTCCTTTTTCTAACTGCTGTCCAAATTCTGAGTATTTCCAAAGCTCAGCAACCCTCTGGATTCCAAAAGTACCAGTTCACTAACCTCAAGATCAGTGAGGAGAAACTCAGCAAACAATTTGAAAAGGTCCTCAGTCCAGCCATGAAACCCTGCTTGCTGTGCCAGATGTTAATGTTCCCAGAGCTTTCTGATCAGTGATGCAGGGAAAAGAAACCACAGATGGGATGATTGATATGAAGGGAGGTCAAGACTCACTCAGGTCAGCGACCAGGCCCAAGTTTACTGATTATCTTATATACCTTCAAACATTTAGCAAGAATTTAATACAGATAAAAAGAAGTGAAGTAAGATTAGGAAACTACCATGAAGATTAGAATTCAGTGTGAAGGCTGAGGAATACATATACAATTGATTTTGTTTGGGGCAGAAATATAAAAGAGACTAGCTGTCTGCTCTTGCTTAGCCTAAGGTGTTTTAGAATTGAAACCAGAGATTATAATGTTAATGAGGGGAAGGGCAGAGAATAGCAATGGAATGCTACAGACAGGAGTTCAGGTTTCCAGCTGTTTTCCTGGTCTGACTCTCTGGTATTCCTTTGTGAGAGTGACTCTGCATTTCTGTAGGCTGAAGGCAGGAACATAGTCATGAAATAAATCCTTCTCACAGCCATTCACCTAGGAAAGCACTTGAGGCAAACTGCCACATCTGAGCTTGGGGTGCTGATCTCTTCAAATACCAGAAGAAATTGTAGAGAAAACACTTGAAGAAATCAGCCTGGGTGAAAATTTTATGAAGAGGATCCCCCAGGCAATTGAAGCAACATCAAAAATACACTACTGAGATCTGATCAAATTAAAAAGCTTCTGTACAGCCAAAAGCACAGTAAGTAAAACAAGTAGACAGTCCTCAGAATGGGAGAAGATATTTGCTGCTTATGTCTCTGACAAAGGTTTAAAAACCAGAATCCACAGTCAACTCAAACATATTAGCAAGAAGAGAACAAGTGATCCCCTCTCAGGGTGGGCAAGGGACTTGAAGAGAAACTACTCTGAAGAAGACAGGTGCATGGCCTACAAACATAAAAAAATGCTCACCATCCTTAATCATCATAGAACTGCAAATCAAAACAACTTTGAGATATCATCTAACAACAGTAAGATTAGCCCATATCAGAAAATCCAAAAATAACAGATGCTTGCGTGGTTGTAGAGAAAAGGGAACACATCTACACTGCTGGTGGGATTGCAAACTAATATGTTCCTTTTGGAAAGACATCTGGAGAACACTTAAAGAACTAAAAATAAACCTGCCATTCGATCCTATAATTCCTCTATTAGGTATATATCCAGAAGACCAAAAATCACACTACAATAAAGATATTTGTATCAGTATGTTCATTGCAGCCTAATTCATAATTGCTAGGTCATGGAAGAATCCCAAGATCCCATTGATCCACGAATGGATCAATAGTTTGTGGTATATGTACACCATAGAATACTACGCAGCCATTAAGAAAGATGGAGACTTTAAGTCCTTCATGTTTACATGGATAGAGCTGGAAAATATTCTTCTTAGCAAAGTATCCCAAGAATGGAAGAAAAAGTATCCAATGTACTCAGCCCTACTATGAAACTACTATAGCTTTCTTATGAAAGATATAACCCAATTTTAGCTTAGGAATATAGGGAGAGGGGAGAGGGAGGGGAGGGGGGAGGGTGGTTGGAGGGAGGATGATTGGTGGGATCATGCCTATGGTTCATCCTATAAGGGTACATGTGAATCTCTCTAATTGTATAATATAAATGTCTTAACACAATAACTAAGAAAAAGACATGAACATTATGTTAACCAGTTGGATGAAAGTATTTCAAATTGAATACAGAAGCAGTACACTGTACCCCATGATAGTATTAATGTACACTGCTATGATTTCATATAAAAGAAGAAAGATGCAAATTCATAATTATTCAACAATTTTGATGTCTCAAAAATGTATAAAACAAGTAGTCACAAAATTAGAAAGAATATAGTAGAATTAATACCACTATTAATGAACTTGTGCTAATTGACATTTAGAGACTCTTCCAACACCCAACAACAGCAGAATACACATTGTTCTCAAGAGAACATGGAATATTTATCAAAAAATACCATAATCTGAAGGATAAAACAACTGTAAGTAAATTTAAGATAATTCAATTCATACAAAATATGCTTTATGACCACAATGACATGAAATTAGCAATCAATAAAGAGAAGATATGTGGAAAATGCCAAATACAATAGAACATTTATTAGTCAACAACCCAAGGGATTATAACAAAATGGTCAACATATGGAATTGGTAAACATAAGGAACTAAATTTTCTGTACTGCTACACACATGTGCCACATGTCTGGTTTATGAAAATTATATCAACATAAGGAGGTGGTAAACTATGGACATTCTACACTATTTGTAAATTACATAATGTATATCTAAATATACACCTATTCAATGAAATTAAAAGGAAATTAGAAAGTATGTTGAACTGACCAAAAATAAAATTATTATGCATCAAACTTGTAGGATGACACTGAAGCAGTATTTAGAGGGGAATTTATAACACTAAATACATACATTAGAAAAGAAAGGGCTGAAATCAGTAACTTTAACTTCCATCTTAGAAAACAGAGAAAGAAAAGCCAGTGAAACACAAAGTAAGGAGTAAAAAGGATTTAAGCAGAAAACAATGGAATACAATGCAATGTAGTAAAATAGAGAAAAATAAGTGAAACGAAGAGCTAGTTTTTGAGAACACTTAAATTAATAAACTTCTAATGAGACTAATCAGAACAAAAAAGAGAGAAGACATAGATTACCAACATCACAAATGAAAGCAGTCACATCACCAACAATTCCACAGATATAAAAAAAGACAATCAGGGAATATTAGGAACTATTATATGACAATAAATTTGATAACTTTGATGAAATAGAGAAATTCTTTAAAAAACAGAAGCTAACAAAGCTCACTGAGATGAATAAAACCTTCTTTAAAGAAGATAGACAAATGACTAACAAACATAAAAAAATGCTCATTGTCTGTAATTATTAGAAAAATGCAAATCAAAACCACCCTGAGATATCATCTAACCCCAGCAAGAATGGCCTACATCACAAAATCTCAAAACTGCAGATACTGGCATGGATGTGGAGAGAAGGGAACACTTTTACACTGCCAGTGGAACTGCAAACTTTCCAATCTTTTTGGAAAGAAGTATGAAGAACCTTCAAAGAACTCAAGCTAGACCTTGCATTTGATCCTGCAATCCCATTACTGGGCATCTAGCGAGAAGGAAAAAAATCCTTTTACCATAAGGACTCTTGCACTAGACTGTTTACTGCAGCTCAATTTACAATCACCAAAATGTGGAAACAGACCAAATGCCCACCAACTCAGGAATAGATTAATAAGCTGTGATATATGTATACCATAGAATACTATTCAGCCAATAAAAAAGATGGTGACCTTACATCTTTTGTATTAACTTAGATGGAAGAGAAACACATTGTTCTTAGTAAAGCATCACATGGGTGGAGAAGCAAGAATCTTATGTACTCAATTTTGATATGAGGACAATTAGTGACTTAGTACATGGTGGGGGGCTGAGGGAAGGGGAGAGAAAAGAGAAGAAAGGAGGGTTGGAGGTGGAGGAAAGGGATAGCAGAGAGAGGGAATAAGGGAGGGGATGGGGAAAAGGAAGAGCAGAGAAAAGGAAAGGGGTAGAGGAAGGGAAGAGCAGAGAGAGGGAAGAAGGGAGAGGGATGGGGGATCAAGGTATCTAACACACCTTTTGGGGGCTGGACACAATTATAAGAGGGACTTTACCTAACAAATGCAATCAGTGTAACCTGGTTCTTTGTACTCTCAATGAATCCCCATCAATTAAAAAAAAAAAAAAAACTCAACACATGGTACAAATCCAGAATTATTCTGACAGCAAAAACAGAGAATACGATATAGGAAAACTACAGTCAAATATTCCTTATAAAAACAGATGTGAAAAATTTTAACAAACTTTTAGTAAATATTATCCAACAATATACAAAAAGGATAATAAATCTAGATTAGTTAGGGTTCACCCATAAATGCAAGGTTGGTTCAAGTTTGAGACTACAGCAATGCAATTCACTGTATTAAAAGACTAAAGAAGAAAAAATCTGACCATGCCAATAAATGTAGAAAAAGCATTTGAAAAAAAAATCTAACACCCATTCCTGATTTAAAAAAATAAAACCTCTCTAAAAGTAGTAATAGTAGTAGAATGGAACATATAAAAATACTCATACTAAGCTTTATAAAGCAGTGGTTCTAAACCTGTGGGTTGTGACCCTTTTGTACTGTATTAAATGTTTGCAGCATTAGGAATGTTGAGAACAACTTCTTTATAGGGATATTATGCTTTCCCTAATATCAGAAACAAGGCAAGAATGCCTGCTCCCACTAATTCTATTCAACAATGAATTAGAGGTGTAAGCTAGAGTGACTGAAACAAAAAAGATAAATAACATCCATAAGGGAAAAGAAGTTAAACTGCTTATTCACATTAACAAATAGAAAATCCTTTGAAATATACAATAAAACCAGCTAGAAGTAATACATTTAGCTGAATTGTGGGATACAAGCTCAATATATGAAATATCAATTGTATTTTCATCCAATTTAAAACTGAAATTAAGAAATCAATTCTATTTAAAATAGCATTAAACATAGGAATTTTTTAATAGACAAATCTGACAAAAGATGTTTAAGACCTATACATTGAAAACAAGACACTGCTGAGAGAAATTAAAGAAGACTTAAGTAAATGCATTCAAAATACATGAAAAACTCTCAAAAATCAATAAGAAAAAAAACAATCCATGAAAATCAAGCTGGGGGGAGGGGAAGAAGAGAATGGGTAAGTTCATACCTACTGGGTACATTGTACACTAGGTAAAGGACGCACTTATAATTTTGATTTAATCTGTACAAAAAACAGTATGTAAACAAAACATGTGTACCCTATAATATTCTGACATTTAGAAAAAGAAATTAAAAAAGAAAAACTATCCAATAAAGTCTGATTTAAACAGATATTTACCAAGAAGATAGATGGCAAATAAGTACACGAGAAGATGCTTTCAACATCATTAGTCATTATCATATAATTTAAAACCACAATCGGGTACTTGCACACTTAACAGATATCCAAAATTTTAAAAAGAATGACTACCTTAACTGTTAACAAGGATGTGAAGCAACTGAAACTCTCATATGCTGCTGGTGGGAATTTAAAAATCATATAACCACTTCAGAAAACAGTTTTGTAGTGTGTTTAAAAGCTAAATCATACATTTACCATGACCCAGTAATTATACTCTTAGGTATTTACCCATGAGAAATGAAAACATATATATTTATGCAATCACTGGTACATGAATGCCTATAGCAGCTTTATTGTTAATAACCAAAAACTGCAACAACACCAAATATGGATAAACAAATCATGATATATCCGTATAATTAGTAATACTACCTACTAGTAGAAATGAATGAACTATTATGACATACAACAACATGGGTGAATCTCAAAACAATTATGCTAACTTAAATGAGCCAGACAAAATGAGACTATATATTGTGTGATTCCATTTATATAAACTCCTAGAAAATGCAAACCAAGTAGTGACAGAAAGTAGATTGAATCATTTTAAGGCAAGAGGGAGCTATTGGAATGGGATATAGGAAAATTTGAGAGACGATGGATATGCTATTATACTGAAATGATAGTTTCACAGACATATACAAATGTCAAAAAGTATCAAATTGTATACTTTAATATATGCAGTTTACTGTACATCAATTATACCTCCATAAAGCTATTTTATTTTTTAGAGACAGAGTCTCACTTTATTGCCCTTGGAGAGTGCTATGGCATCACAGCTCACAGCAACCTCCAGCTCCTAGGCTTAGGTGATTCTCTTGCCTCAGCCTACCAAGTAGCTGGGACTACAGGCGCCCACCACAATGCCTGGCTATTTTTGGTTGCATTTCAGCCAGGGCCAGGTTTGAACCCTACATCCTTGGTATATGGGGCCAGAGCCCTACTCACTGAACCACAGGCACCTCCCGCTATTATTATTATTATTATTATTGCCATTTTTTGGCCGGGGCTGGGTTTGAACCTGCCACCTCTGATCTATGGGGCCGGCACCCTATTCCTTGAGCAACAGGTGCCGCCCCATGAAGCTATTTTTGAAATGAATAAACATTACTCCCAGAGAGATTTATATAGCTTGAGTAGCCAAAGTCCTAGGCTTGCCCCTATATACTTCATCCAGTTATTCATATCATTCTTGTGCCTAAGAGAATTATAAGTCTCACATACTGAGATGATCTATATGACAAGCAGACAAAAAATTTCATTAACTCCCATATTAGTAAATATATGTAATACACAATGAAAAAAAAGGTATTACCACATAAAATTTTGGTAAGAAAAGAACAAAATGATTTTCATTAGTTTTGATTCAATGAAGTATACTAAAAATTTATAGATACTCTTGGATAACCTTGTAAAGACGTCTCCTCCCCTGAGAAAATCTAATATTAAATATAGCTTCCCTTCTGTCTGAAAGGCTAATTAGAAATGAGAATGTAGTAACAGAACAATTTTAAAGGCTTAAAAAAGCTTAGCATATTTTTTAATTAGTATGCATTTTTAGAATTTTATCACTAAACCCTATAAAGCAGTTAAATATTTACTCATATTGTCCATTATTGGATAATTTCTAAAAATTAAACACAGTGTTTAATTTAGCATTGAAATACCTATAATCCTCTTCCCAGAACATAATATATGAACATGCACATAATCAACCCTGCATGTGGCTTTATACAGAACCATTTTTCTTATTTATGAGGCATGTTCTATTTCAGTTGCTTAAACTTTGCTCCCAATAACCTACAGAAAATCTACTAATCCTGTAAAGCTCAACAAAAAAGCTACATCTTCCAATAAGCTTTCTAGAATTTCTCCCTTTTCACATTTCCCTCCACTACCAATACCCTCTTCCACATCAGAATTACTTGTTACTACTTTTGAAATTTCATATTATATTTATAGCCTCCACATGGTATTTATCAATTTTGATTTGTACAATCAATTTATATAGGCTCGGGTCTTGTACCTCAGTAGTTAGTGTGCTGGCCACATATACTGGGGTTGGCGGGTACAAAAACAGCCTAGGCCTGCTAAACAACAATTACAAGTACAACAACAACAACAAAAAAATAGTGAAGCATTGTGGTAGGCACCTGTATTCTCAGCTACTTGGGAGGCTGAGGCAAGAGAATAGCTTAAGCCCAAGAGTTTGAGGTTGCTGTGAGCTGTG